GTTCATGAATACCAAAAAAAGTGGTCTGATATTATAATAGGCAACTTACATACAACAACGTAATGCGCATGTGCGAACCACAGATCAGCGCACAGTTAATAATAACCACAAATGTACATACGTTCAAATGGCAAATGCAATTCATGACACCAGTACAGTGGGACCCCCAAAGATTCTTTAAGGACAATTTGATTGACTCACGTGAGAGAAATCGACAACTTTGACGATGTGCTTGTGGGTGAAAGTCTTCAGCTCGTCGCCCGTCATGGCAGTCCATAACTTACTGCAGAGAGAGGGAGAGGGAGGAGATTACGTTTGCACGGAAGACTTTCAGATCTGTCTCGTCTTCACTATTACATGCAGATAAATCTATGATTCGTTCCCTTCGCACCTCTTAGGCTGGCCTCCACATAGTCTTGTGTGGTCCGCCAGCGGTCAGGGGAACAGACTACGCTTCTATTTCCAAGACCCAGTCAGAAGCAGCGACCTCTTCACAACACTTCGCTCAAGGAGTTGACTAGAGGAAGAAGAAATTGGCCAAGCAGGAGCTGCATCGCGCTCGTCTTGCGTGGTCTCAATGAGCCTCGAAACATTTCAGTCAGTAGTTTTATATAGTCACACGGCATGATACCGAGTAGGACTACAGTGGAACCTCCGAACAAGGGACACTATGGAGGCCAATGATTTTGTCCCTTGTAGAGAGGTCATCCCTATCTCGGAGGTCAAATAATACACTAAAGTATTAGCATGGGGTTGGAACAAGTGTCTTATGTAGAGAGGTCGTCCCAATCTTGGACGGTCCCTTATCAGAGGTTCCACTGTACATGGAGACCAGCCTTTACTCCTTCACTCCCACCCATCTCCTCCACTCCCTTACACAGTGAAGTCGGCAGCACCAGTTGCAGCTCTCGAGGCGTCACTGCTGAGACATGCTCCCCACACTGCTCCCTTGTGGCCCTCGTAGGTTCCTACCCAGTCCCCAGTGTCCCCCTGTCGCAGCATCGGCTTACCATCTGACAGCAGAGAGAGAGAGAGAGAGAGAACAGTATAAATCCTTTGATCAGGACACCAGAAGTTTCTATGCTGAGGGGTTACCTAGCTAGCTACATGCAACGAACTTTTCTTGGGAAACGAAAAGGCGCTCTCGTTTTAGAGAGAGGTTCCTCTTTACACTTAGCAACAAGGAAGGGAGAGAGAAGGAAGTCGTAGACAAAGCTGATAATAGATGGTAGAGTTTATCTACAGAGGTTCTTTTGGTGGCTACCTTTGCAGGCGGAGATGAAGTAGGACCCGCTAGGCGTGACACCGCTGAAGTGGAGGCACACCACGGGCCGCGTGTGGCCGGGGCACGTCAGCGGCGTCTGTCGAGCGGCCGTCGAGCTGGCTGCAGACATCACTTCGGCTGAGTTAGACCTCCTTTGACCTCAAGCACGAGCGAAGTCTCGAAATAGGCGTGGCCTAAAATACGCGCATGCGCATACCGCGCATTGAGCATTTGTAAAAACGAAGCGCCAAGTAATCATGATCCAACCTTACAAACCATAAACACTACAAACAACCACAAAAACACACGCAGAAAGAGAGGAAAGTATCAAGA